TATAATTTTTAAATAAACCATATATTAAGTATGGAAATTGCAAAGAAAAATACATTGTTTAAACAAGCAATTTCTTCTTCTTCCTTTTTTTTTTCTAATTAAAATGTAATTTCGTTTTGTTCTAAAGAACATGCAATGGAACAACTTTCGGGTACAACCTAATTTGATTGCAAATTCGGTGCGTATTCAGCGGTGTTCTGTATGTAAAGAGGATATATCGGCAAACCAAAACATCAGCTTTAAATTTGGTTTTCTAAAAAAAAAAGTGGAACCCGAAAACAAACTCAAAGAAATAGAACTCTAAAAACTCATTGAGTGAAAAAATGTGATTCATTCGTATCAACTTAAAAAATGGAGTTAAAAATAAGGTGTATATATGGGTATTAGTTTATATGTGTGTGAGGGTAGGGCGGTCATTTATACTTACCTTAAGAAAGGCAGTTTTAGTTCATAATGTATTTAATCAACTAATAAATCAAGACTAAAATTCTTAATTCATTTGGGGAAACTAATGAAAAAAAATAAAACTTAGGCAATCTTTTAAACTCTCTTTGAACATTTTTCTAGACAAATGATAAAATATAATAATGTTTGGTTTTCTTAAAAAAAAATGAGCAGGCTGAACCCAAAACAGTCTAGGACCAAGGTCACAAATAATGGGCCAATGGGCTGGCTAGGGCTTAAATTTAGGACATGTTAAATTGAAAGATAGACCTTTGTGATCTTTTTTCGAGGAATACTTTTTTTTTTTTTGGTAAAAGATCACTTAGAGGTGGTCTTTATTATAATAAGATAAATTTCAAAATAAAATCAACGTAACAATAAAACAAAGATCTTAACAACTTGATGTCATTAAAACAACTATGCACTATGCTTGAGAATAAAAGATAAGATTGCAATAAACAAAAAAGAAGAGTGCCCGAGATTACCTCAACTAGGCTTATTATACCCCACACCGAGTCACCACCATCTGATAGCGAGAGATCAACGGTCTAGCTTCAATCTCGAACCAGGAAAGCAAATTTTGGCTAAACTTTTGATCACAAACTCAAACCCTAGGTGAATTCTCTTAACAACCTAGTTTGAGTAAGATGGATTCTCTTTTTGCTAAACCCTAAAACCCTCAGAAACTCAAACCCTAGGTAAATTCTCTTAGCAATCTAGTTTGAGATAGAGAGAAAGATGGGAATTAAATACAAAAGATAAAGTGTAGAGATTTTTGGATAGAGACAATCCCTTTTTACAGGCTTTCAATTCGATTAGGGTTTCTTAGGGTTTTCCTTAACTTGCCTCTTCTTGTGAGATTAAACATAGACCGTCGATCAAGGGTGACTTAGGGGGTGAGAGATCTGAGTCATCCATTTCATAGATGGGTCTTCAACATTATGGAATGTACATGAACCATTATCCCCCTTTCCTAAACCATTTTCCCATCAATATATTTAAATAAAATAAATATCATGCATTCTATAAAATTGCACGATCCATGTCACATATTTCATAAGGATATGTTAAATAAATACTACCAAATATAAACAAGATAAGATCCATATCAATTCAAATTGACCATATCTCTTTAAAACAAATTAGCTACAAAATAGATAAAGCCATGATCAATATATCCCTTCCAAAAATTTGCCCACATACTACAAATAAAACTAATATTATCTTAAAAGCAAACAAGAGAATTTATCTTAAAAACAAACAAGAGAATCCAAAGAGGGTGGGGTGTGCCACCCTTTTGTGGCACATGTGGGCCCCCACCCACATGCCACATGGGTGGCCCACGTGCACTATGGGCCCACATGGAATATTATAAAAAAATTATTTTTTAAATTGAATAAAACAATTTAAAATATATATTTGAATTTTTATAACTTTATAAGAACAATAATTATATTTTTATAAGTCCAAAATTCACAAATAAAATATTGAGAGATTCATAAAAATTCAAATAATAAAACTAAAATCATTTCAATAATAAAAGGAACACAATTAAATTAATATGATGGGAAAATGATCCATATGGTTTTAGGAATTCAATATGTAATAACGGGGTACTCTACTTTCAACTGTGGACTACAGACTACATTGGCTTTATCGAATCGACTCAGTTGTGAATTGACCCAGTATATTTCAGTCTGTGGATTACAGGTCCTCCCCTAGAGACGAGTCAAGATCACCACGACTTGATGCGACCACAGCTCTCTGACGCATAGGGGTATCTCTCGCACATGCATTCACTTCACCCAAAGGTGGATATTTGATTTTTCCGAACGATTTATCAATATGCATGCCTTGTGATGGAACATGGATGAACTTTTGGCCCCATCTCAGTAGGCCGCTATCACACACAAGGGTCACACATTCCCTCGGCTCACTCATCCGGGCATGTTCTTCGACCTCGTCAAGGGCTAACCCATAAATTCTCATCGGTTTGTTCTTCATGCTTAGGTAACATGGGTTTTTTCCAACCGACTAGCCTAGATCGTTAAACACATATCGGTATCAGCAAACCATCATTTGCTTAGTATGATCTACGATGGACCATTCTCCCACTGAGTTCATGTTCAACTATATCATTTCATTTTACAAGCACTCATAAGGCCTTTAAAGGTCACATAAACCCAACATAAATAAATAGGACAAGGCCCGATTAAGTTGCCGGATATGCATTTATTTAAAATATTTGTTTAGAGGTGTGGTTTATATAAGGCATTAACTTTCAAACAACCAAAGTAAGGCGCACTTTCAAACCCTACTAAAGATGCAGTCTTAGTGCTGGAAACCTCTTTGATGACCTAAATATCTATTTTTGTCACTATTGATGACAATTTAAAGTTCTAAAAATGTTACAGATTTAGACATAAAATCTTTTTTATTTTCATATCCATACATATACAATATGCACCACTATTAGGATATAAATTCTTTTTTATTTTTACATCCGTACATCTCGAGAACGAGATGATCAATAAGAGGTTTTTGCAACAGCAAAATTATGTTTTTCAATGGTTTATCAAGGTACGTCTTACTTCTATATCATAAAGTTTGACTACTTATACAAGGAAAAAGTTTATATAGAGTCGAGCTCTAAATAATCAAATTAGAGCCCACCTCAAAAATTTCACTAAAATAGGTTGTTTTGATTCCCAAATATTCTCAAATTGATCATCTCGACATCAAGATTGATGGACATGAGGAAAAAAATGGATTTCAAATTTTAGAAATAATGCATCTTATAACACATTTTTAGACCGTCAATTATCAAGATTTTTAAGTTTTCATAGATCTAATTGATATACACTATTTTTTAAGCTTTAAATTTTAGGAAAAATATCTCATTATTCCCTATTTTTAACTTTCATATCTCATCAGATCCTAAAATTGAAAATCAGACCCAAGAATTAAAAATATTACTTGTAAGCAAAATGGCTCCTTTATTTCTATCTTCTAACCCCCTAAACCCTTTTGACCATGTATTATTGACCCCAACAACTTATGCTATCTCTCTCTCTTTGAAACTCCATCTCTCTCACACTATCATCGTCTCTCTCTCTCTCTAAAACCCAAACTCCATCTCTCTCTCTCACATCATCGTCTCTCTCTCAAAACTCTATCTCTCTCCCTAAAACTCAAACTCCATCTCCCTCTCTCTAAAACTCCCTCTCTCTCTAAAACTCACTCTCTCTAAAATCCAAACTCCTTCTCTCTCTAAAACTCTATCTCGCTCTCACACATAAGAAGGTGTGCTCATGTTCAAGCTCAAGCTAAACCTCTTGGCTGGTAAACTCACCAAGAAGCGAAGAGAGAGAGAGAGATGGAGTTTTAGTGAGAGAGAGAGATGGAGTTTGAATAGGGTGTCATTTTAGTATTTGTTTGAGTAAAAAATTATGGCCAAAAGGATCTAGGGGGTTGTAAGATAAAAAAGATATAGGCTTTTTGCTTACAACTAATATTTTCAATTCTCGGGTCTCATGAGATATGGAAGTTAAAAATAAGGGATAAGGAGATATTTTTCCTAAATTTTATAATTAAAGATGAAATTATATTTAAGGTTATCACCAAGATTTCTTGTATTGAAATTATATTTTTTAATACTATTTGAAGATGTGCTTTATTGTGATTGTTTAGAGCCTCGGCTCTATACAAACCGCACCCCTTATATAAACCTCTTCTACTGTATAAGGTTTCTATGTATTTCACGATTGTAAACATGTGCTAAGGGGAGAGAGATATAGGGGTAGTATTTCACGATTGTAAACATGGGCTAAGGAGAGAGAGATATAGGGGTAGCAATGGACAGAGCCAACCGGAGATGTGAAAATAAAAAAGATTGTATATGTATGGACGTGAAAATAAAAAAGATTTTGTCTTAATTTACAACATTTTTTTAACTTTAAATTGTCATCAATAGTGACAAAAATAGATTTTTAGGTCATCAAAGAGGTTTCCAGCACTACGACTGCATCTTTGGTAGGGTTTGAAAGTGTGCCTTACCTTAGTTGTTTGAAAGTTATACCTTATATAAACCACACCTATAAAAAAGTATTTGAAATAAATGCATATCTGGCAACTTAATAGGGCCTTGTCCTATTTATTTATGTTGGGTTTATGTGGCTTTTAAAGGCTTTATGAGTGCTTGTAAAATAAAATGATATAGTAAAATATGAACTCAGTAGGAGTGTGGTTCATCGTAGACCATACTAAGCAAATGACGTTTTGCTGATACCGATCCGTGTTTAACAATCTAAGCTAGTCGGTTGGAAAAAACCCATGTTACTTGGGCATGAACAACAAACCGATGAGGGTTTATGAGTTAGCCCTTGATGAAGTTGGAGAACATACCCGTATGAGTGAGCCGAGGGACTGTGTAACCCTTATGTGTGATGGTGGCCTACTGCCACCCAACCCATTGCCGACAATAGTTTCTTAGGCTGCCGCCCATAGTATACAATCCCAAAACAATATTATATCAAGTAAAAACGCTAGAGTATATATTTGAGGAAAAATTCCGCTTTATTTAATTCATCTTAATCAAAGAAATATATTCAAAGAATCTTATTCAAAGACAATCATTCAAATCATGTTATTCAATCACAAATAGTTTTGAATTGGGGGCACAATGAATTCCTAGTTGTTGTCCATCCAGAACTGGGATTGGAGCCGGTTCACCACCTTCTTGTCAACTTGGAAAGCCTTAGCCAAGACATCATTGGAGATGGCTGGTTTTGATCCGAAAACGGCGTTGGCAATAGTGATCACACCCGGATTCTGGCTGCTCAAGGCCGCTATAGCCACTGCATTCTTAGAGCCAACATTTTGCTGGAAATGAATGAGGCCTTCAGGGAAAACAAACACGTCTCCCTTTTGAATTGTCTTGGTGATCAAGCGGTTGTCAGGGTTACTAGTCACAAAACCGACGTAAAGGGAGCCTTCTAGGACAGTTAGTATCTCGGTGGCACGAGGGTGGGTGTGGGGAGGGTTTTGGCCGCCACGAGCATAGTCTATGCGGACCAACGAGATGCCGAGAGTGTTGAGGCCAGGTATTTGGGCCACATTCACGGGGGTTACCCTTGAGCCCAGTGGGTTGGCCGTGTTGCCGGGCTTGTTGAGCCCGCAGAAAAAGAAGTCATTTGCTTGTGCCAACTTTGGATCCTTGCACACCTTGCCATTAACGAACACTGCATGAAATAGAAACATACGTCACATTACACTATCAGGTGAGGTAAAATATATGCATTGTTTTATGACACTACACTTGAAAACAAATAAAATAAAATAAAAGAATTTAGAAATTTTAGTACTTTCCAAAAAGAAAGTGTAAAATTTGCAGACTAATCCTATAGGTGAAACTATATGATGTTCGGTAATAACTAACAAATACATTAAAAAAAAAAAGTACCAAAAGAAAAAGGAGTAAGATAGTAATTAGATGGCTTTCTTTTATCAATGAAAAAATTGAAATAAAATAAATCAATAAAGTAAAAACACTAGTATAAGAGTTACCTTTGCTTGCATTATCTGCAACACAAAAATCTTGGAGGGGACTAGGATCAGATGCCAAGGCAAAAGAAGCCACCAAGGCAAAGAAGGAGAGGACAAGGAAAAAAGACTTCATATTTCCTCTCAAAAACAATATATGAATGATAAGATAAAGTTTAGGGTGATAAAAGAGGATGATGGTTTAGAGTTATGTGATGTGTTTCATAGTTATAAGGCATTGGAATGTGTGTAAAGAATCAAATTAGAAGAGCCATGGTAGAGTAGAATTGAATGAGTCTTTAATCTCATCTCCCTTTGAAGGCTAATTCAATACTCGCAAGGTTGTGCAAGACCACGTAAAACTCAATACATTATTTGTTTTCTTCAAACTAGATAAACAATTCTCTCTCTCTCTCT